CGTATATATGCTGCCCCCCTACCCCCCCGATCCCTAACCCTAATCCCACTCCACTCCCGCCGCTCGCAGTCGCAGTCGTCTCGTCTCGCTCGCTCTCGATCCGCCGCCTGGAGCTCACCGCCGCTCGCCTTGATCTCGCCGGCCCTGCTCCGATGACCTCGTCATCGCTCGTCCACCTCGACCTGAGTTCGCTAACCATCTCCTCCCTCCTTTCCCTTCCTATCCCCTCTTCCCCCTCCTCCAGTGTACCATGTGAGTTCATCGTGCCTCTCTGTCCTTTCGCCGCCGCTCGCCGTCGTTGTAACTGTTGTCTGTCTCCTCCTCTGGCTGCCTCCCATGGCACGACACAGGAAAAATGGCCGTTCCCAACATGCGGCACGGCACGGTCAGACGGCCCATGGGCTGTGCCATGGGCCGTAGGCCAGGCACGAAGCCCGTGGAGGCACGGCACGGCAGGCACGACGACCCGTCGAGGCAAGACCCCCATCGGGCCGGCACGGCACGACGTCGGGCCGTGCCGGGCTGGCACGACCCGTTGGCCATCTATAATCGTAGTAAGAACTGAAAGTTGAAAGGAGAAGAAATGGAACTGATTGCTCAACGCTTGCTTAAAAGTAGAACAGGTGCTTATATAGACTGGCTAGATAATAGCTTAATACGGCTGATAATAATAATATAAATAAGGACTCACTATTAGTATTGCTTTCTGCTAAAAGAAAATCGGCAAACCATAAAGCTTCTCATATTTCTTGGAGTCGGGACATTATTCTCACTAGTTGGATAAATCTTGCGAGTACATTGTGTACTCAGGGTTTTTTTACCCATGTTGCTGGTGATGCTTGACAAGTACTGTGTGTGGAGGATTCTTCTGGTGGGCTCAGACGGATCCTCGTTCTTATCGTTAGATGCTTCTTTTAAATTCCGCTATTTATTATTCTGCACTCTGACATTTGGTAATGTAATAATGTACTTTTTAAGAACTTCTGATGTATGAAATGGACAAGTATTGTAACTCGCTTTTATTATTGGATCCTTAAGAAAAATGTGGATCTTCCAGGTTCTCCCTCGGGGAGTGCCCGACGGATATTGTCCGCTGTAGCTTGCTTTCAGTGTGCTTAGTGTCTGGTGGAAGGCGAGCATCTCCGTAAGCGTGTTATTTCGAGCGGTTCTGCCACAATAGTAACTTTATTATTTTTATAATATATTGGCTTAGTCTTTTATAGGCCTTCACAAGCATGTGTGATGCATAAAATTTACTGAAATATGTTGGCAAGACTTTCTTCATACGACTCTCTTATCAACTAGTGCATGCACAACAATCAATAACTTTCTATCCATAAATATTTGACTGTGCTGTGTGCCCATATCACCATTCTAATGTGCATTTGTGGGATCTCATTAGAAGTTGGATATTTTTTTAAACACCTAGAAGATTCTGGCTTATATTATTGAGACAACAGGTGAAGTGCATTAGGTGGAAAAAATATACTCTTTTCTCCATTTTTTTCTCCCATTGTGTTTTCGAATGAGTTTTTAATGAAACATGAGCTCATTGTGCTGAATATACCCCTGATGTGTTGACACCATATAAACTTACATGCACCCATCTATTCTTGAGTATGAGATCAATTATTTCAGTGCTTCATGTCTCTCATGTGTTCTTCGTGTGTGTTTCACTTGGGATTGGGAAGGAAGATGGATAATTTGTCATTTTCTCCACGATCTACTATCGAGAAAGAAATGTGGATCACTAGATTCATGAGGACATTTACATCCACCTTAACAACGATGACTCTTACGTTGGGAAGAAAACCCGATCAAGAAGCCTACCCCCTCACCTACCTCACATGCTCCATAACAACACTAAGAGAGAACCACTATGATAGAGAAGCACCCTAATAAAACCAAAACCTCTAGATATCTCCGGACCTAATTCATACCGGCGTATAAATAAATCCTAGGCCCGCTTGACCCAAGGTTAGAATGACATTTTTAGCAACATACATCATCTCTTTCTATTGGTTGTTTTTTTCAATGGCAGGCTTTGCTTCGTGAGTCTAATTATGTAAAACGACCGACAAAAATACTCGGTTCCGAAATACAAGGTATCAAAGCAATTTTAGGACTAGATAAAGAGTTTGAAAAAAATACTAACTTGGCTCTCACTAATTAGATAGTTTGGTTGTTAACTTGCTTAATTTCATGGTAAGACATAGTTTAAAAAGACAAGCATGCATGTCATTGATTTTGGCTACCAATTACATAATTTGGGCAAGGTGGTGTTTAAAAGGTATGCATGCATGGATGTGATTCAAATGACAAGCATGTATGAATGAGGTTGAACAATCCAGAATACCTTATAATTTTAGATAAATTTAAAACCTTCGATGTCTTGTATTTCGAAAATCAAATGTTTAAATTAGGTAATAATTAGAATGGTTACAAATGATATCACTTTTATCGAAAATTTCTCGATGTTCCATTTTTATTTTCATCTCTACTCCATCCATTCCAAATTATAAGTCGTTTTAGCTTTTTTTTTTTAGATATATAGTTTTGTTATGTACCTAGATACTACATTTTTAAATCGTCTCTAAACTAAGCACCATTTTGATAGGGACTCAGTTTCTTTCCCGTTTGCATCTCATGGATTAATTTCATGGAAAATTTCCCTAAAGAAAACATGGAGACCGTTGCAATCACGCTAATGTTTTTTTTTTGAGAATCACGCTAATGTTTCTTGAATGAAAAAGGAAAGAGTATGTTTTTTTCTTTTGAGAAGGAAAAGGAAAGAGTATGTAATCTGGGTCTCGTTTTGGTGGGCTTTTCAGGTCCATGATTACCGGCCCACCGGGCACCAGCAGCAGCAATTCCCTTTCCACATTTGTGCGATCTACACGCCGCGCAACTACAACAATTGCACATGACACGGTCACGGCGGCGGCTATGGATGGCAACGGGCACATTACTCGTGGGTAGAGGGTTTACAAACCCGCACCTGTGAGGCAAATCTTGTGTCCGCACCCGTGCCCGTAACCTGTCATGGGCCCGAAATTGAACCCGCGCCCGTCACCCGCGGGCACACCCGTGCCCGCCAGTCAGATCACAAATTCACAGTTGACAATCACAAACCTGTACAGATCACAGATCCAATGTACAACAGCACAAGTTCACAAATAACAGTTCACAAATAACAGCTCACAACTATTGTTCAATATCTCAATAACAAGAGTACAAGCCAAATAAATATGGTTCAACAAGCACAAGTGACAAGTCTAGGACAGCACACACATGGCTCAAATCACACAAATATTGTTCACGGGAGGTGGCGGCGGGGGGAACGAGGGCGGGCGGAAAAAGTGGCGGTGGGGAGGGGCCGGCCGGCGGGAAGGGATGGCCGAGGGCGGGCGGCGGCTAGAGGGGAACTGGCGGTGGTCGCCTAGGCGCGAGGTGTGGGAGGCTAGGAGCGGTCGAGCGAAAGCCGAGGGAGGCTGCGCCGCTGCGGCCTAGCGTGCGGGAGGGTGGGATTGCAGCTGTGCGGGGGAGGATAAGGGGAACCCTAGAAAATCCTTTATATACTTGTGCAGCAGACCCACATGTCAGACGGGTTCGCGGGTTTACAAGCACGGGTAAGGTATTTTCATACCCGCGAGCATAAAATCAAACCTGCATCCGTGCCCGTGGGTAAAAAAAAAATTGGAACCCGTATCCTCACACGTACCCGTTGCCATCCACAATCGGCGGCGCCCTCAAGAAGGCACCGTTTCACTTTCACACAAGCGCGGCGGCACCGTACAAGTGTACTGCACGTCACGCCGCGCAACTGCAACTGCGCGTGACACGGTCACGGCGGCTGGGCGCCCTCATCAGCCCCGTCGCGCGCGAGACGCGGCCCCGCCCCGCCCCGCCAGCCGCCAGCCGCCCCCCTCTTTCCCTTTCCGTACCCGCAAGCGCCCCACGCTTCTTATCCTCTCGCCGTCTTGCCCTCGAGCCTCGCGTCGCAGCCCCGGCGTGCGTCCTCTCATCTCCCGGATAAATACACAGGGGGCAAACAGCTCGGCTCTCCTCGCTTTCCCTTCACACGTAGTACGCACGCACGCTCGCTAGCCAAGGGCAAAGGCGGCCGGACGGGGAGCGGCGGCGGGGGCGCGGTTCTTATCCACGCCTGACGTCTCCCTCTTCCCCGCTCTCCGCAGCCTCGGTGCCCCCTTCCCCCGTTCAGGTGGTTCCTCTGCGCTTTCTCCTCTTCTGTCTTCTGGTCTGTATATAGGAGGACGACTAATCTGGTGAACTAGCACGTACCGGCGAAGTTGCCACCGCCGTGCTGTTTCCTTCCCTTGTCCGTGGTTGCGGTTCGACGGTTGTTTTGTTCGCATAGATCAATCGCTGTGTTGTCGAAAGATTCGCCTCTAGGTTCTTGTTGGGTCCATGGTGAATGGTTGTACGGATTGGAATCTGAGGGTGAAGCAATGCGCGAGGCCGTTAGGTTTGGTTTTCGCGGCGTCAATGCCTGGATTCATTCCAGCATTTATTGTTGGGATCTCGAGTTTCACCTTTCCCACGCGCCAAAAACACAAACTTTGTGTGCACCGGCCACCGTGGCCCGTCTCCGAGATAGGTCATGGAAATGATGCTCCTTGAAGAACACGATTGTGGAACCGATATCTGTGTGAGTTTTTTAGTTGGCAAGACGAGAACTTGGGAGTTTCTTGAGGGGAATTTTCACAAGAACCTGCTGTACAAGTACACCATCTATTTTCCCGATGTACCCATACCGGAGCAGTGGAGCCCCTTGAATTTTTAGGCAAAGTTCTATAGTGTAGGTGAGGCTGAGACTTAAATCGAGCAGCAGTCGGAGGTATGTGTTGTTCAGCCCCCTCTAAAATTTTTTCTGGATCCGCCGCTTTGGAGGGGTATTCTGTCTGAGAGATGGCACAGGAGCCACATTGATTACAGAACGAGCACCTATGATGGGGATGGGAGCTACCTGACCATGGGTGATGGCCTGGTGGGGCGAGAATGGGTGTGACCTGGTGGGGGATCAGGTGAGCGCCATTAGGGGTACAAGGGTTCAGGGGACGAGTTTGGCTTTCTCCTCCCCAACCACAGACACTGGGAGGAAGGTATGCTGGTACAGTGTTGGGGCACCAGGTGAGCGCCATTAGGGTTACAGGATTCAGGGGACGAGTTTGGCTTTCTCTTCCCCAATCACAGAAACTGGGAGGAAGGTTTGCTGGTCCCACAGAAAGTGGGGTTTGGTGATACTAATATCCCGTTAACCGTGTGTCCCTTTCTTTCGTTAACTATTCTCTTGAACTATGTGAAGACACCTTTTCTTGATTTACTGATCATTCACCATTCACCATTGGGGTTACACTTGATTGTGCAGAAGCCTTGTTTACTGAAGCAGCTTAGTTCCTGTTCCTGTCATGGGTATGGAACATTTCATGAGTTCTGCAAACCCTTCAGCAGGTTCAGACCATGCTTCGCTGTACATAATATAGTTCCATTTTATGGGTAACTTATACAAACTGCGACTAAGACCCAGCTTACATCTTATAAAAAAGGTTTTGCATTGTATGGAAATGAAGCAACAGAGGAAATGAAAAGGCTACAAGGTCTAAGAGCAGAAACACTGATGGAAACCTACCAAAGCACAGAAAGGAGAGATGTAGCGATCAGGTGTCCAATACCATGCAAAAGCAGCAGGTACAATCCAGCTCTCTGATCTGGTCTGGCAGTTCTGTTATGATAGTACTTGTAAATATTTGCATAAACAGTCATACACTTTGCATGTTCTGATGTTTTCTTGTACTGATGCTCATGAGTCAAGGAGGTATAGGGAACATGACTTGAGAGCCGCACAAGATCTTTCTGAGTTTATTCTTAGCAAGGTTCGTTTCTCTACAGTTCTTTCATCAATTGTTTTTTGAACGTAAAGTTCTTTTATCAAACTACTACCTGTATTCTGATGTTTCTCAAACGTGGTTCCACTTCCATTTAATCTATCACCTTTATTAAAAAAAAACCTTTTTTTTGTCTTTCTCTCTCTTTTCTTAAGGTGGTTTGGTTTAAATTTTTAGCACAGTTAAACTGGAATTTATTTGGAATTAAACTAATGCTTCTGTTGTCGGACCTTGCAATCTGCAGGCTTCACCTCCATACTTTATGGGATCCCCACCAGTTCGTGCAACCAATCCTCTTGTTCATGATGCACAATTCTGTGCGTGGAAAGTGCACAACGTAGATCAGTCAATAGGAATTCCTATACCAGCCAAGAGTTACAATGCTCGCTACTGTGCAGGAACAGAATCTTTTACGAAGGCTTGAAGTTGAAGCTACATTTATCAACTTCATGACCGTTCAGTGACGTTGTAGCCGAATCTCTGCTTCTCCCAGCAAGGCTAACTTGTATATACGAGTAGCTTCCCTTTTGAAGGTGTGAGGTGTCTCATTGAGTGTTTAGAGTATCTCATTGGCCGTGTTGTAAATATCATTTTGCTCGTTTTTTTTTTAGTGGAGCTAGTATTGGTGAATAAGTACTCGCATAAACTTTGTTGTTGAGTAATGAGGTAACCTGAATGAAAATGTTTGCCTTTCTTCAGTTTCTGGTTGTCATGTTAAAATGTGTTGTGAATGGGCCTCTAACTGAGTTGGTTAGGTGGCTTTTAGTAGCATTCTTCAAGTCCTGAGTTCGACTTCCTGTTGGAGCAAATTTTAGGCTGAGGTAAAAAAAAAAACCGGCCTCGCTTGTGGTTATTCTTACATGGGCTAAGATGCTGGGGTTTAGGGGTTTTCTTGACCTCTTACCCTTACCCTCGCAGGTTAATGTTTAGTCCTTCTAATCCTTTGTGCTGGATCTACCGACAAACATTGCAAAGTGTAGCTGAATGCATCTGAACATTTCATAAGACCATAGAGAAATTCGTGCATGTTTACACTACAATCAGTTATGTAAAAAAATACTTCATCTCCTACTGATAGATGGTTCTAAGAGCCTCCTATTTTACTTGCCTTCTGTACATGTTGTTTGGTCTTCTCTGCCGGTTGAATTGCTGATCCTTCTGATTTTCACCGTCAAACTTCAGTGGTACTATCTGCCTGATGTATGAGGCCCCTGGGAAGTTTCTCCTTTCCTTTGTGAGCGACCGAAGTTCTGTAAACCAGTATGCAACGTACTCCCCTTTGGGATCATATGTCTTGGCCTGCATATGGATGTTCATGCAATCATGCGCGGTCACCAACTGTTGAGGTTGGACTGGTATTGCTATAGTTACAAGCTAACATGCTGTGAAATTAACATCTTGGTACTTTGAAGTGATCCGTCAATTCATAAAACATACAATTTTCTCACTGTGGCAATGTATCCCAAGTTTTGGTTCATTATGGTAGTGATTTTTCAGGTAAGAGAGTTCAGTCTAGTCAAATACTTACTTGCTTTGGGATACTGAAGTATCGATCTTCTCGCGGATCATTGCCAACTCCTGTCAGAGTACAGCAGAAACATTTCATTCAGTTCCAGTCTACAAGGATATGTAAGCGACCTTTGTAGTTTTTCTTGAATTTATTTTCTTTGGTCATATTGTTCTATCCAGTATTTAAAGGATCAGTAAAGACATAACTAACCTGCTCCATATGTCCAACTGCCATAATTTGAAGCTGGGTCATAATCCAATAAGCATGTCTCGAACCATTCGGCTCCCATTCGCCAATCAATACCCATATCTCAGACAAGAAATGAGCAGACAATCTGCAGATAGGCAGTGATTGAGAGATTAATAATTGGGAATAGATGCCCTGCAGTGTTAAGCCCTCTGCTGTCTTTTCTGCTTATGTGGTCAGATGTGGAAGGATACCTGACGACCACGGTTGGACATGAAACCGGTGGCTGAAAGCTCCCTCATGTTGGCATCAATAAGAGGATATCTAGAATTTACCATGACTGAATTAAGAAGGCACAAGAACAATGGCTCCAGATTTCAAAAGAATAAAGTGGAGTAATACGATACCCAGTTCGACCATCTCTCCATGATTCAAACAGTGCTTGGTCCTGACTCCACTTTGATACTACTTTCCTCGGACCTCCTGAAACAATAGTTTGCAGCCGGATTATACCTTTACCAGACAAAATTGAAATGTTTCCCAAACGGCATAGTTGTGCATTATTTTCATCATAAAAGGTCTTTTTTATATACAAAACCTAAGGGTATGAGAGAGAGAGCGCCATATTTGGTCCTTACCCAGGTGAAATATGGCGTTCCCATATTTTGCTGATAGAAATCTGAAGTAGTCTCTCCATATCAACTCAAATAAAACCCTGAAGCCATTGACTTGTCAGGAAAAGGCGCTTCACTCTATGAATGGGAATACACCTTACAAAAGCCTGCGAGGAGTGCAACTTATGAGAAGGCACACTAACCAATATGTAGAATCATTTGCCACTCTTTGCTTCTCATATCTCTTCACCTGCATCATAAAGGACATATAACATATTGTATTAGGCAAAGCTAACGAGCTCTGCAGGCAATGAGGAATTCCTTATCTCTTCGCAAATATACGTGGCGAAAGACTGCCAGAAGCAAGCCAAGGAGAGAACTTTGTGGAGTAGTCTGGACCTAACATGCCATTCCTAGTCACCTTGTAGTCTTTCAACTGATCCTTCTTCCAGAAGTACTCATGTACTCTACCAAGAGCTGCTTTCTCTCCTCCTATGAAATGCATTCCTTTCTCAGACTGCAGGGAGAAGAAAACAGTACAGATTAAAACTGGAACTAGTGAAGCACCTGACTAAAGCACAACTAGCTGCAACTAAACCTGCCTTTGTAACGCTCAGGCCTAGTGACTCTGCTGTTGATATGGTCCCCCATCCTCCAATCTCATCTATGCTGGAACTAGGGGGCGGACAGAGCGACAGCGGCAACTTGGTGCAGTTCCTAACCAAAGACTTCGATTCAACTGCCTGCCAAAAAACACTGCTTCAGCATTAATCATCACGCCTGCAAAAAAGACCTAGAATTTGCAAAGAAAATCCCAACCTTTCTGAACTGTGTGTACACGTCTGGCAAGTTGTTAACTGGGAACGGGAGGTCATCGATGTGGTACATTGTTGCTCCCCAGATGAGCTGCAACCTGGGGTTCAGAGGTTTCTTCGGGACAGATGCTCCTCCTTGACCAATCTGAACTTGTTCCAAGCCTTTGCTCACGAGGCGTTCGACAAGGAACTCTTCGCTACAGGTTTCCTTGTGAGCATAAATCTGGAGATACAGCGCTTTTCTGACTTAATCTTAGGTGCCTAACATGAATTTAGTACCTAAAGATCCATAATTCAACTATATTAAAATTGATTGAGATAAGATTGTGCAGAAGGGGACCTACTGTGTGTGCACTGACAGCCTTTGCAATTGATGGAAGGATCTCTTCAGGCTTGCTATGCCGGACTAGCAAATCGAGGCCCTTTTTCCTCAGACTCTGCTTCAGGTCTCCTAAACACTCTATCAAGAACTGCGCCCTCAATGCTGAATAGGTGATTTAAGTTTCACCAAACACAACAAATACACGTAAATCATCATTATTTTCTAATCAGGCAATGCTTGCAGTTGGCTCTACGATGACAAGAATCAGCATTTTCCTGAGCTATCTCAAATCCCTGATGCAGCAGCAACGAACAAAATGCAGAATCGCTAGGTCCTCACCTCCCGTCTTGGGGAGCCCAAAGTAATGCGTGCTCCCCGCAAAGACCCGTGGATCGACGCAGTACACCGGCAGGACCGCCTCGGAAGCCGCCCACGCGCGCAGAAGGGCCTCGTTATCAAGAACTCGGAGGTCGTTCCTGAACCACACGACGCCGCCTCTCCTCAAGCTCGGCGACGTGTACCTCTGGAAGGCCTCGTCTGCCACTGCGCAGGCCTCGTCGGCGCCGAGGGAAGGCACCGGCACCGCTGCACCGCGCACCGAACGGAACGAGGAGCTCGATGGGACGGCGCTCATGGCGAGGAAGCGAAGATTGGAGGGTGGGCTAGGGAGGAGGAATCGGGGACAGAGTGAGGAAGAGGAGACGTAGGGTGTGATTGGTTGCCCGAACCGGGCAGTCATTTGGCCCATCCCACGTACTTCGGTGCTTTCGGCTGTGTTTGATTGTCCTTGCATATTTCCTCTGCTTTCTTCTGTGTAGATTCGCTCCTCTATTCTGGACGCCACCGTTTTCTCGATCCTCACTTCCCTCTCGGTGCAGGCTAGCTCGGTGCTTGGCGGAAACCTTCACGCCGAGCGCGGGAGATGAGGTCGTCCGGGGCATAAAGCGCGCGCGCAGATCTCGGCTAGGGTTACCACCCTCACTCTTCGCCTCTCCTTCCGCCATAGCTCCGATACGAACTCCCGTCTTGATAGCCCTACCGAGGCGACACTCGCCGGCGGATTTCTCTTGGTCCTCCGGCGCTTGGACGGTATATATATGCCACCTGCGCTCTTCCCCTCCTCTTCTTCACTGTCAATTTTTTTGTTGATTTATTGGTGGATTTTGCTTGAAATGCCAAGAAATCAGGGTTTTTGGTTTGACATCCTCAGATCTGTACGATGCTATACCTGATTTACCTGTTCCTAGCTCAGATCTATACATGATGCTTCGTTTTTTGTTTATACCTTATGTTTTGTGTAGATCTTGTACATGCTGATGCGTATTTTGTTGTACACACTGAGCAAAGTGCCTAGGTCAATGATGTTGATTGGTTAACAGTATACGCTGGAGGAGCACCCTTTGGTGTGGCAGCCGCGTCTTTCATTGTTCATTTTGTCTGATTTTTTGCTTGCTAAGCAGTACATACCTATGTTGCATGCTCGCTTTCTAATGTTGCCCTCTATCCTGTTGTGGTAGACATGGCGTTTGAAGCTAGGCGAAGGGCTGCCGCTGCTGTGGTTGTTGCAGTGGCAGCTTGGTTTTTCATGTGGTTTAGGAGGAGAGTTGAAGATTCGCGCTCAGTCACCTATGGTCCCTTGGCTGAGAGGGACATACAAAGGATGAACAACCTTAGATACATCTATGATTCTGATGATGTGCACTATGTCAACCTTCTTAGAATAAGGAGGGCCCCTTTTTTCCAGCTTTGTGACCTTTTCCGTAGTAGAGAGCTTGTCACTGACGGCATACATGCATCTGTTGAATAACAAGTAGCCATGTTCTTGCATGTTGTTAGTCACAATGAGAGGTTTAGGGTGGTTGACCTTACCTTTAGGAGGTCCGCAGAGACAATTAGTAGGTTCTTCCAGAAGGTGTTATATGCGGTAGGAGAGCTGGGGAATGAATTGATTGTCCCTCCTGCTACCAATGTCCATCCTAGGATCCTTGGGAGCAGAAGGTGGTACCCCTATTTCAAGGTTGGTATCCATAACTTGTCATACATAGGTCTCATGCATTATCAGTTTAGTGTCGATGTTCACTTACACTTATGTTTTTTTCAATTAGGATTGCATAGGAGCAATTGATGGTACTCATGTATTAGCTAGAGTGCCTGTGAAGATGCAAGTTACCTTTAGAGGCAGGAAGCACACCATCACACAAAATGTGTTGGCAGCCGTGGACTTTGACCTCAGATGCACCTATGTGCTTGCTAGTTGGGAGGGATCTGCACATGATGCTCTTATCTTGTCTGATGCTCTTGAAAGAGATGATGGCCTTAGGGTGCCACCAGGTATCATCCAATCCATAAAAAAACTTTGACACTTTGCTTAATCCTAAATGAAACTACTAAAACATGTTCCTATCTGCTAATTTTTAGATAAATTCTATCTTGTCGATGCTGGCTATGCAGTGAGGCCTGGTTTCTTGCCACCATTTCGTGCCACAAGGTACCATTTGAGGTAGTTTGGTTCAAACCGACCTGAAAATCAAAGAGAGCTTTTTAATCTAAGGCATTCGTCTCTTAGAGTAATAGTTGAGAGGGCTTTTGGGGCTCTAAAGAATAGATTCAGGATATTGGACAACAAACCTTTCCACCCATACAAGACCCAAGTTAAGCTTGTTCTAGCCTGTTGTATTCTTCACAATTGGATCCTCGGGCATGGGCAGGACGAGCATGTGCCTGCTGAATCCACATGGACACCTAACATCAATGATAATGCCTCACAACCAGACCATGTCCCTGACAATGGTACCTGGGCACAACAGAGGGAGACATAGACTGCACAGATGTGGCAAAACAGGGGGAATTCTAGGGTGTAGTGGCATGGTGTGTGTACTATTTAGTAGCATTGGAGAAACTTGTATTTTTATTGAGACCTATGGTACTTTTACAATGATGTAGTACCTATTCCTTTTCTGCCTATTTGATCTGTTCAACTTGTATTTTATACCCATGCAATTTGTTTTCCTTACGTACTGGTTGTGGATAGGAAATGGACAATGTGCCTGACCAGGTTGTTAACATTGGTGGTGAGGACAATGTGGTGGAATAGGGTGGGGTAGTTGCTACTGATGATGGCAACCAAGCAGCCCCTCAGCCCAATGGCCCTATGCACTGGAGTCCTGTCCAGTCTGGGTTCATGCTTAGGAGGTTTCATGATTTGGTGGGGCAGGGGGTCAAAACTGAGAAAGGGTTCAAGGAGGTACATGTTACGCAGGTTGCACTCATGGTCTCTGAGTTTGCTGGAGTCAATGTGACCACCCAGCAGATTTACAATCACCTGAGAAAGTGGAGGCAAAGGTGGGTTAAGGTTGTTAGGCTCAAGGATTTGAGTGGTGCTCTGTGGGATGAGGACCACCATATGATAGTACTTGATGATGAACACCTGCTAGGCCACACCAAGGTTAGAAACTGTTTGGATAACACCTCAGCTATCCCTTCTCTTATATTTTGCTCCCCTATGTCTAATAGTTACATCGGTTTCACTAACTAGGACCATCCTACTGATGCTAAGTTCTTGAACACACCAATAGAGAACTATGTTCAGATAGAGGCCATCTTTGGTGGTAACCAGGCAACAGGCAGGTATGCAATGGGCTCAAATGAGCCTCTGGGTACTCCAACCGATATTGGCCAAGGTGATATTGACACCGTTGAGGACAACACTGACTTAGGTGGCATAGAGGCTGAGTCTGGAAAGGGAACTCCTTCTAGTATGGAAAGCTCTAAGGGTTCTGATGCCAAGGGTCAGGAGGAAAGGGGTGGCAAGAGAAGGAAGCTTGCTCCAGAGGAAATAGACCTCATGAATGGAATGATCAAGGCTGTGGAGTCTGTAGGAGATGCCCTCAAGACTCCACAACACAATGAGGTGCATCAGGATCTTTATGGCTGTGTTATGGACTGCCCTGGGTGCTCACAGGAGGCACTCATGTTTGCCCTGGTTTACCTGCTGAAGAACAAGGCTGAGAGACTTTGCTTTGTTCAGATGACAGAGGCTCATAGGATCCTATGGCTTAGGACCTATCTGAGGACAACCTACTTTGCTTAGATGCATACTAGCTGGCCTCTCCACTTTTGCATATAGCCATGCTAACTGTCTTATGCTGTAGGAAGTATTTTGATGTGTAGCACTTACCTCAACTGATGCTATAAAGAACCATTTGCCGCCTAACCAAGGCTGCACCTAGTCTAGAATAGCATAGGAACGATGGTGATGGATGTGAGGCCTTGTTGATCTGTGTGGTGTAGACATTAACAAAGGGTGATGGATTGTCACTTAGTTGATCTGAGCCATTTCAGATGTTGTTATTGTTCTTGTAGGAGTTTCTTTTTGGCCAATGATGCAAACTATAGCAATCTAAGGTGACTGTGGCTATTCTTCCTGTTGTTGCTTTATTGTCTTCTTATGTTTTCTCATGTCTTTCACCAAACCATGGGATACGTCCATTCCCAAGCAACTGTTGTAGGCATGCCAATCGGATGGCTAGGATGGACGTGTCCCACGCTTCCATGGGAGTCATGAACTTGCCTTAGCAATTTGTGTTCTTATTTGCCACCTGGGATGATTGCAGTTTTTGACTGAGGCTGATACAATTGTGAGATCCTTTTCATGCCTATGAAGATAACAGTGCCAGTTTGAGTAATGGATTATGCACATTGTTGACCTTGGACTTGTGAGGTACTGGAGCATTGTTTCTTCTATCTTCTGCTTATGCTTCTCATGCCTGTAATCAAACCATGTGAGACATCCATGCTCAAGCAACAGCTGGACAATTCTGATGATCTGATGGCTGGGCTGGATGCCTCTCATGGTTTCATTCCTGCCATGATCTTGGTTTTCTACAATCTGTTTGAGGTTTGCTGCTGTCTATGTTTCTTAAGCTCCAAGTTCAAGGTCAAATGAAAAGGCAATTAAATCTGAGGCAAATCGATTGAACTACCCTTCATTTTGTCAACATCTTATACTTGCTTTTATGTGTTTTTAAGGGGCAAATGGCTTGGTATGTTGTGTACCGTGGAAGAGTACCTAGGGTATATTCAACCTGGGCTAGATGCAATGCCCAGGTAACTGGTTTTAAAAACAACAGCTACAAGAGCTTCCCTAACAAAGAAGAGGCAGAAGCATCATACTTAGAGTTCATGGGTTATGAAGATGATAAAGTTTTTGTCAATCCTCCACCAAAGGTGCTCAGCAACAAACCAGTGTTATTTGTTGTGGCTGTGGTGCAGTGTTTTCTGTTGCTGGTGCTTCTGTGGTTCGTTCTTGCTCGTTGCTACAACTGTCTGTGATGCTCAAAATGCCATGGCTTGGTAATTTGCCTGTAGAGGAAAGTAGCCTGGGGTCTATGCTTGAGTTCGGTCGTTTATTTTGATGATGCTTGAGCTTTTTATTGCCAAGCATTGTTGTAGCTGCCCCTGATTATTTCATATTGCCTGTGATGATTTTAAAATGCCATGAAAACGTGTGGAGACAATGACCTTGTGAGGAACTGTGACTTTTGGGCAACCAATCACGGCCCTATTCATGATTTTGCTGGGAGTACTATTGTCATGTTTATGTCATTAGAAGCTCCAAGGTCATTGTCAATGCCA